TTTGGGGTTTCCACCATACAAATCATACACTTAACCATCATGGAGTCGAGTTGCGATTACGCAAATTGGTGCTATTTGCCGCAAATGTTTATTATTCTACATGGACCAGTTAGGCACTCGCAAATTTCAATTCATTTCTGAATTTTTTGGTAATTTTGAAAAAGCCACACTTGTCCATTTAATTTCGATTTTAAAAACATTCATGTATGGCCGTTTTCATTACAATATTTTAATCTACAATACAAATTTTCATGTTTTACTAATTACAAAAAAATTCCTACCCAGTCGAACCTTAAGAAGAAAAATTCATATAAACATATATCTGAAAAACATTTGGTTTTCTTTCTTTGGGCGATATTGTAGCAAATAAATTTGAATTATTAGGTCCAGTTGGTCGTTAATTTCCTAATGTAATAAAAAAAGCAACCTTGACTCCCCTGTAACTTGAAAATTAGATATTTTAGGTCACTTGTTTATATGAAGTTTTCTACTTCCAGGAATTCCATTCCATTATGCTCCGTCGCAAATTTTAATTTTTGATTGGATTGTTTTTTCAAAAATACGATAAAACCGAAAATGGCTCGCCCTGTACAAAAACCGATTTTCTCCGCATTTTTGTAACGGAACGGGTGCTGCTCGCACCCAGTGTCGGAAATTGGATTGTGAACACGAATTGCACGGCTTAGTATTTCCAGTCGTGCACGGAAGCGCGCTTACAGGCAATATTAATTAGTAAAAATGAAAGAATTATACGCGATATCATTGACTGAGTTCCATATATGGAGGCACATTTCAAAATGTGAATTACGACGAGTGTTCTTGCACGCGAGACCTTATTGTTTATGGTCGAATTTAAAATGACAAAAATACTTTTGCAATCACAAAACTATTCAATAAATTTGTCACGTTTCATGTTCGTAACTATGGTGTAAATAATAAGGTACAAAATCTAGCCCGTGCTCTTCAAAGCTATACTGTAAGGAGCGGAATTTAATTAAAGTCTGTTTCTAAATGATGTGGAGTACCAAAGTAGGGGATTCTTTTCAGCAACGATCAAATTTAAGGTTTGCTCATAGCCGTAGATAGAGAGATAATCTATTATAGCATATAAATCGAGCAAATTTCGTGGAAAGCTAGTCGACGGGTATTAAAGTTCTATAGGGAAGAGGAAAAAGATAGAATAGTTGTGGTTAAGATACCTTGCATGTGATCCTGCATTCCTAAAAGGGGATTCATTGATATTTGCATCCCTTCGAAAGGAAAAGAGTAAAATATCATCCGATTGACCATAGTGGTTATGGATAATTCACGGAGCATAGAAAAAACATCAACTTCGTCAAGTCGATAGCAACTGGACATTTAAAAATGGTAGCAGTATGACCCTTCATTACAATTTTTCAGGGTTCAGACTAGTGTTGGGACTGATCAATTGGCCACTTCTTAATTGACTAGTCAGAAAATGTTTTCAATAACATCTTGCAATTGTAGAGTGTTATCTATGATTATTTAATAATATTTTACTATTTTAATTTACCTACAACCACTCAAGGAATATCCGAATACGATACTGAGCGATTCGGGGAATCCCAATAACAATATCGATTCCATTTTGTTCCCAGGACGACGCGAAGGCGACGTAACGCACAACATAAATAAATATAAATTAATAAATATAAATTTCATGGAATTTTTAAAATTATTTCGGTCAATTGACACAAAGAGATTTGACCGGTCAAATCCACAACCCCACAAAATCTTTCATATCTTTAATTTTCCTATGATATTTCATAAATTTATTTTACAATAAACATTTGTGTAAGAATTTTCTCAAGAATGCAATACATATATGAAATATGTAAAAAAAATTCTAGAACTGTAACAGTAAACTAATTAATATTAATTTTTCTAATCGTATATGCCTGAGATTTGTATACATTATTTAATTCAATATTTAATATAAATAAACCATTGCATCGAATTTTACGGGAGGTTTTCTATATTCTTATCTTTCTCAATTAATAATTTTATGCTTAAGTTTAGAATGTTTATTTTAATAACCTTTTTAAAACATTTTTCGTTTAACTTTCCGATATTTTGTCAAACCTCTTTTTAAAAACGTTGATTTAAGTTTTGTTGATGTTTTGTCAAAAAACTATTAATATTTCTTCAAATTTATTTTTTCTTTTAACATTGAAAAATTTATATTAACCAATTTATTAATTTATAAAGACTAGAAAAAATACATTCATGAATGAAATGGAAAAAATGTAACACACATGCAATTTCCATATCATTTGCAGACGACACATCTCCTTCTTGAAAAAAATCTTCGGCGAATCGCGATCGATAAAAATCGATTCTTAATGCACATTTGCGTCGGCTTTTATGCCTTTCACATGCAAATCAATCGATTCGCGCCGCAATAAATAATTTATGCATGACCTAATCGATCGTTATTGTCGTATTTGCCTACTTAATACGATACTTGCCGGTGGAATATTAATAGTACATGACAAAATGTTTTTAAGTATAAATCAAGAACCACTCAATCGACTAAATTGACTGTCTGGTAGCGTCAAATAAAAAACTAAAAGCCTTTATACGTCCACCAACGACTCACGTAGGAGTACTTTTCTTGCCAAACTCTACCGAAATATCTTAGGCAACGTTTTTACATTGCTTTGGGTTTAATTGCGTCGAAGTTGGCACACTCCTCAATCATTTTTAACTATTTTGATTCATCCAAACAACTTTTTTATTAAACATCCTTCGTAGAATTCAATTTTATCGAGAAAATAGTGTAAAACATATATAAAAACAGTAGTATTAGTATATAATATAATAATATACTTTGACTTTCGAATTATATATAATCTTTCTTAAACAACATCAACACTTCAACATCAATTCCCATTTTTCATTAACACTTTTTCAATTATTGCCAATCCTTACGATTTTACATTTTTTTAATAATAATTTTCCAATCAGACACTATACTGCGGTGAACAATATTTTCTTTCAATTTCATTTCCCTTGGTTTCAAACGTTTTCTCTATCGCGAACGCATAAAAGGAACGACAAACATGTAGCTTTTTTTTTGGTCGCTTAAAGCTTACGATTTCTTCATATATTACAGCGAAGCCATCGCTTAAAACGAAAGTAGAAATTAACTGGTAGACGGAATTCCTTTCCACTTGGGAAAACAAAACAACACTATCTGTGGTTTTCCGCCGACAACTTCGATCTACATCTGATAAATGAGATTAAAATTTAGACATAAATTTGAATGTGCAGTTAGGAAGCAATATGAGAGTTAAATAGTTATTTACGTCGTTAAAAAATGATATTTTACAATCAGGCGAACTGAATTTAATGAGCAGGACGAGCAAATATAACTATTTTGTTTAGTAGTCGTCAAATGACACAAACCTCACACGCCACATTTAATTTAAATTTTGCTAAAATATTTCATTTTCCATTTTTCTACTCTGTTTTTAACTATTGTTTGCGAAATTTTTATTTGCAATTAATGAAAAAAGGCAGTCTGTCCGTGTTAAAACCAAAGCAATTACTGCGACACTTTTTTTAGTTCACTCTGTATATTTCACTTCCAAGGACCTGACGAACCTTTGCCAAAAAATGCGAATCGGCGATAAAAAAATATGTCTTTTATTTGGCGACCGTAAAATTCCCGACCTTGCCTCTTCTCGGTTTGCTTTTAATTTGCTCAAATAATTTTAGGAAATTAACGACGACATTGATATAGCGTTTTCGTAAAATATTTATAGCTGTGCGACAAACTCGAAGAAAAAAATATAACGAGTGATTCAATAAGAGTTTCCACATTGCAATCTGAAATATTTTTGAAACGCCACTGTATTTGTTTATTATCATATGAGATTTCTAACCTCAAAACATAAACAGAATTAGTCATGGAGCAATATACGACTGAACAACGTGTAAAAATTGTGCAAGCCTATTATGAAAATGGTCGATCAAGAAAAAATGGCAAAATCGACCTTCTGAGAGGACAATTTGGAATGTGGTTCAAAAATTTGAGCAAACTGGATCTGTAACTAACCTCAAACGTGCTCGTGCAGGTCGGTCAGATCAAAATATTGCCATTGTTCGCGAAAACGTGTAGCCGAAGATCCAAACACATCGATTCGTCATCGAATCACACAGCGAATTTTAACATATAAATATAAAGTCCAAATAACTCAGGAGTTGAAACCGCGAGATCATCAACAGCGCCGCGTGTTTGCAGAATGGATACGAGAACAAGGGGTTCATTTTTCAACGAAAATCATCTTTAGCGATGAGGCACATGTTCACGTTGGTGGCTTTGTAAACAAACACAATGCTCGTATTTGGGGATTAGAAAATCCAAGAGACATTGTTCAAAAAGCAATGTATCCTCAAAAAGTGACTTCTTTGGTGCGGAGGAATAATTGGCCCTTTTTTTTTCGAAGGATAATGCGGAGATCACTGTTACGGTTAATGGTGTTCGCTATCGAAACATGATATTTGATTTTTTCTGGGAGGGAAGGTATGGACATTGAAGATTTGTGGTTCCAACAGGATGGAGCCGCTTGACACACATCCAGAGAAACGATGCAATTGCTGCGAAATTATCCAAACACTATTCCAGAGCTGAAAGAGGAGATTAGACGCGAAATAGCCGGCATAGAACCTGAATTGTGTCAAAAAGTGATAGGAAATGTCAATAAACGAATTACGTCATGCCACATGAATCGCGGGGATCATTTGAATGACATCATCTTTCATACCTAATTCTAATACACTAATCTAAAATGGAAAATAAAAATGTTTGTATATTTTTATATTCTTCCGAGTTTTTTTATTATTTTAATGTGGAAACCCTTATTGAATCACCCTTTATAACATAAAATTTCGTTACAGTATTGCTTTCTGCGAAAATGGTTCATCATTTTTAGTTATGTCAAGGGCCGCGAAGAACGTAAAAGTATATTACTCACCTTCGTTTGATCGTATGCTGGATTGTGAGATTCTGGAGTAGTTCTGCAAAAAAAAAAGAATTTTTGTAACAATTTTTTTTTCGGTTTTCGTTTTTTTTTTTGTTTAGACTTCTAAAGTCTAACAGAATTTATTAAATCTAGAGAGAAAGGTACATTTTTTAACCGTGTAATAAAGAAACGATTTAAATGGAATTCCGTTAGAACTCGTTACAAATGTGAATAGATTATCGATAAATAATTTGCCAACTGTGCCTGTTGCTAGTTTCAAACTTTTAATGAAATATTTCTTTAATGTGTTGAAAAAATCTAGTAAAAATAATTTTGGATTAAACATAGGTACAAACTTTTGGCTCTTGTATAAATACAAGATTTGTTTGTAATCCTATGTTACAAGCATTTTTTTAATTCTCTCAGGGAAAACTGAATTTTGGTACTAGTATCGCATTTCGTAAAAGAGAAAAAATATTAATAATTTCCACGAAATTTCTTACGTGGTAGGTATCTGTACATTTTTTTTCTGAAATTGATGAAAAAAAACATATTTTGAAATGAACGAATGAAGCACCCTGTTCCCTAAAGTAAATCTGAACTTAAGAAAGAAAAACATCAAAATACCTGCATACTATACATTACGATATAAATTTTAACCAATGTCCCATATGTAAGAAATATTCTGGGGTGATCTTGTATCAAGAGCTTCCGAAAGGAGTGTTAGAGCTACAGTGTGTTCCAAATAGGCTCGCAATCTTCATAGGAAAATGTATTTTTTTTTTCACTAATTCGATGAGGTCTTGGCAACAATGTAAGAAAAACTTGGATCTAAGAACTTGGCTGAAAACTGTATTAACGTTTTGGAGTATGAAGCGTTAAAGTGTGATACTGTATACGCTAAGTTATTCACCTGTATATGTCACAGTTTCCATTTTGGTTGACTTTGGGCGACGAAGCATTCCTGTTTTGTAACGGTGTGACGTTTCCGTTCAAATTTGCTTTCGACTTGCTGCAAAAGAAAAAACAATGGTCGATATCACAATGAAATACGCAAGAATTGGTATTCTTAAAATATTACCAAGCAAGCCAATAAAATCTGTATCGAATCGGAATAACTTACATTATATGACATTAAATTGTAAAAAATTAAAACACAAAGAAATTTAAATAAAAATAAAATCAAAACTCCACTTTCTTTTTAATAAACTGTATTTTAATTAGTCAGACAAGCATAAATGTTACTTTCCGTTAGAAGTAAAAATTGTCAAAGTACTGGCAAATGACAATTTAACTCCCGACATATATTACAGAAGTTCCGTAAAAAATCTTCCAGATTGATGTCTACATGTGTACGCTCGACAATTCGTTTTTTTTTAAGATAATAGAATGCTTCGACTTACCCCTAAAAGGCTTCTAAACTGAGAAATCATATTTTGCTCTATATTTATATTCTGTTTTTTAATGACTTAATTAGTTAATTACAAAATTGATGATCTAATTGAAGAATGGTAGGTACCAGCAGTTCTCTTGCATGATCCAGCATGAAAGGAGGCTATCACAAGAATTTGAAAGTAGAATGGTTGTCAAACATCGTTACGTGCTCTCTCTTAATAGCAAACAAAAATCAGCTCCTACAGGAAAAGTCAGGTGCTTTCCAGAATGAAGGAACCAAAATAAGACCAAAGATAAACCTAGAAAAAAGAATGAAAACATTTCGACTTCTGAGTGTTACTTCGAAGATCGATGGTACCCTGAAAGATATTGAAAAAAAAAGAGAAGTCTCATTAACAATTGACATTAACTAAACAGACAAAAAAAATTAACGCTATGATACACAAGTACTACTTTATAGATCAGAGAGAAAATCTGGTTGAGTAGATCACACGCAGAAATCTTATCAACGGGTTTTAAGGTGCCTCCAGGAGAACGAATGAGGACGGAGAACAGAACATAATATTGGAAGCGAAGATGGATTTTTTAAAAGAAGGTTTGCCAACCTTTGAGTAGCTCCATACGCAAGATTGCCACCAAGACATGAAATATGTTTTTGAAGAATATTTTGGTGATTGGTGGCTGATTCAGTAGCAGTTACGGATAAAGAACGCCGAAATTCAATTTAAAAATGATTCTAGTTCAGGGTTCAAGATAAACTATATATAAGTCTATTAATATCGACAATGCCAATTACACTAAAGTTCCAAATCCTCTGCAAAAAGCACACTGTACGAAAAGTAAGGAAATAAGACAGAAAAAGAGCCAAAAGATACATGGAATTATGTATATAAACAATACGATAACACACATTTAACAGTACAGTATAGAACAGTTACAAACGAATACACCAACAGTACAAACATATTAACAAAATGTAGAGAAAATATCACTAAACTCGTCAGGGCAGTCCTGTAAATATATGTTCCAAATTCTTTCAGGTCGTAGAAAGCATTGGTTGACAGAAGCTTTCTGATGCACTTTTTAAATTGTCTTGTAGATAATGCTTTTATGCTTGTAGGAAGCAAATTATAGTAATAAGATCCTGCGTAATTTAAAGACTTTTTGTAGAACATGTGGTTCAGTCTTGGCTTTAGAAGGTGTTCTCTGTTTCGGGTGTTATAACCGTGGACATCCGTGTGTTTCTTGTGAAAGCCTTTATTTTTATGAACGATGATGAATAATTTAAATAAATATATGCAAGGCACTGTTAGTATTTTATACTTTATAAATATATCTTTGCAGGATAGCCTCGGAGGCAGTCTGAAAATCAACCTAAGTATCCTTTTTTGCCGAATGAACACCCTCTCCGCATCACTCGCTTGTCCCCAGTTTACGATATTATATGAAATAGACGAGTATGCTGAGGCGTAATAGAAAGTTAACAAGGATCTTTCAAAGAAAGAATCTCTGATTGTTAACTTGCAAAAAACGTTTTGTTCAGTTTATTAAAAACACTATCTATGTCGTAGTCCCACTTTAGGAAGGCATCGATGTAAGATCCGAGAAACTTTGTTGTGTGGTTTAATTCCACGCGTGAACCCGTGAACATCTCTTTATTAACAACTCAATCCTTTTAAAAAAATATTGTTTTGGTTTGTCTGCAAAATGAGCTAAAACAGCCTCTTTTAACTCAACTTCGTCGTTAAACCGCCGTTCACGTAAGTCCTTTTTCAAATATACAAACAAATAATAGTCGCTGGGGGCCATATCTGGATTATCTGTTGGAACCCACACTCTAAAATGGCATCTTGGGCAACACCAGCAGTATGGACAGGTGCATTATCTTGCAAAAGACGCACGCCTATGGTCAGTTTTCTTCGACGTTTTACACGTATACAGTCTCGCAATTTCTGTAATAATGTTGCGCAATATTTACCATTGACCGTGGTATTAGTTTCTATAAAATCTATCAAAGGAATTCCTTCACAATCCCAAAAGATCGTGGCCATCACCTTTTTTGTTGACTGGCAGACTCTGAATTTTCTTGGAGGTGCTTCACCCCTACGACGCCACTCCATTGATTCTTTTTTCGATAGAGGGTCATAATAGAGAACCATAGTTTCATCTCCCGTCACAATAGTTTCTGTCACAGGCTTCGGTTCCGACACAAAGTTTCAAAAAAGACCGCGCACACACTCGACACGGCGTTGTTTATGAATAGCCGAAAGGTTTTTAGGAACCCATCTTGCACTAACCTTATGCGTACCTAAATGATTATGCAGGATTCGACGAACACTTGTATCAGAAAGCTTAGTAATTTCTGAGATTTCCTTGACCTATAAACGTCGATCACTCAATACCACCTGTTTCACAGTCGCAACAATATCTTCCGTTATGACCTCCACTGGTCGACCAGTTCTTGAATCATCTTCAAGGGACTCCTGCCCCATTTTCGAAAACCTTTTGCCCATTGTTTCACTACAGAGTACGAAGGAGAACTTTGGCCGTACACACCATCTAGCCCTTTAAAAATTTTAGATGCTAACCCTTCTTTTGTCAAAAATTTTATGACTGCTCTATACTCAATTTGCCTTATTTGCGACATTTTTTCGCGGACACGTCTTGTTTAAAATGCTATCAATAAAAAATTATCTGACCCAAGACTTCAATTTTTTTTTAGCAACCTACTAACATATATATTTAAAAGAAGACAGTTTTATCGCGATACTGGAGCTGCATCTATGTCAGGCCGGGAAATTTTGGCTAATTTGGCTAACATCGTAAGAGAAAAAAATATATAAGTGAAACACCTTTCATAGTAGACTATGCTACACGATATTGAATTTTATTTGTTAGATACGATGGCCGATCCGTAATAATGATTTTATGAAGCAACACAGCTGAGTGTTAAGTTCTGCGCTTGTTCATAGATAGCCATTTGGTTTCTTTAATTTATAGGAGACAGGTTCTCTACGGCGAATGCCATAAATGAATCGAAGCGTATTATATGGCTGTCTATACTAAGGAGGCAGGGGCCATATACAACATCCGCAAAACTAAAATGACTATAAGAACAAGCCAATCCGTCAGACTGATCTTGTCATTCCTAGACAAAAGATGTCGATGGGGAAAAATACCTTTAAGATTGGAATATGCCATTTGCATACCTTTGCTGACGTGAGATATCATTGCGTTCCAAACTCTAGAGAAATTACATGAGGACAAGTGAATAGGTTCATTCAAAACTTAAGACCTTGAGCTATTGTTTGATCAAGCCCTTGTGGACATGAGTGAAAAACAGTCTAGCATGTCATCAAAAAAAAAAAAGGAGAAAATGTTGGACCTTGAAAACTTGACCGATGCGATTCTTGATCCATTAATTATAACTCCCTTAAATAATTTTGTCATTTAATGAAAATGGCTAGGCCGTTTCCTTGTCTCTTTGCACACCTATAATGAGGTTTAACTCCTCCACCCCTTTCTGAAATAATACTATAGCCAAAATTATTCAAAACTTTCAAAATTTACCTTTTTTTCCCGTGTACTCCGCAGTCGCTTCTGTCCATATACGTCACGACTTTCGTGTGGCCGAACTCCTGGATCTTTTTCGTCACCGGCGGATGCAAATGTTTATTGTAATACATCGTTTTACACACTCGCGGCAAAAAAAAACCGCTGGTATTCTAAAGGAAAGCGCGGATTACCTCGTGCGGTAACTCAGTTCTGCTCGAATGGCGCGAAACATCGTTTAAAAGTCATTTTCGTGCAAAACGTAGCTAGCCGGAACTTGTATCATTTATATATCATAACGCGCGATACGATTGGAAAAACGGCGACGTATCGGGACCGAATGACGTCACAATTGGGCCACTCTCCGCGTTACCTCTACATTAAACAGAACTTGATAACGGGATCACTTGGTAAGCAACTTATTCGAAAGGGAACCCACCAAGTCTGGAGAACACTTTTACAACCACTCGACATCGAGACGGTATACTGTCGAGTGAAAACGCATTACATTTTCTATCATATTAGCGGTATAGATAAATGAGGAAATTAAATTTAATGAATCTATAATTGTTAATGGCGGTAACGTTAATTGATATAATTGAGCGGTTAAAAATAATCTATATTATACTGGGAAACATCTTGATTGAATTAATATACGGCGTTGGTCGGAAAAAACATGGATGTCGGAAAATTTATCGCCCTCCTTTTATACGAGACGATTAACAATGTGCAGAAGTTCACATTAAAACAATTTCCACTTTTTGAAACGGAACCCCCGGTATATTTATTTGGATTTCTTGTATTAGTGTTGTATTAGTGTATTAGATATTTTAAAAGGCGACGTACTAGATATACGGTGTTTATTAATTCTGTTAATTATTAATCGGTGAGTGATGTGAAGAAAAAAAACTGAATAACAACGTATGTGGCAATTTTACAAGATGTGAAAGTTTTAAGAAAAATTTTATTTCCAAATTCACAAATTATTCTAATTTTAATTTTATTTATATAATATTTCTATGTATTTTGGATTCTTCTTCAACCGAAGAACTACTCAAGTCGAATTTTTACCTTTGTAGCAGGTGGCATATTAATAAAGGATGCCGACCATATCTCACGAACTGTTAGTTTCTGGCATGTCATGATAGCAATTCTTTTACGAGCCGGTCGAAAATTTTACATATAATAGTATACATTTTTTAGGCGAAGATGAAAAATACAGAAAGTAGTAGAAACGGCATGACAATATATTTCTTCCCCTTTGAGATATAAATAAAAATGAGTTTATTAATCGTAGCATAGTAATAGTACCAGAGACGACAGACGTGACGTGGGATGCTTATCTTTTCTACTAGAGTTAAATTTGATTTTGTCCTAATTTGTCCATAATAATCGCCAATAATCAATAATAGTTAAAAAATAAATCGTCAATATAATTTATTAATATATTACATGTATTGTCAATATTGGAGAAAACTGAAAAATAACTAAGTAGGCTTAACGGTTGGCATGGTAACGGCACGATGAAGAAAACAAAACAAAAGAATGCGCTTAAACTAAGTAATTTTTTTGAATGCACGTTAAATCCAAAATGCTATTAGAGAACGAAATCGTTTTACTATAAATTATCATCCCGTCATAATACGTCATCTCTTGGTTATCTCTAATCTTTTATACCTACGTAAAAAAGTATTTTTAAGTTAATTAATTATTATTTAATTAATTATTTATATTACAAAAACATAATTTCCGGCTTTTTCTTCTCTCCGATTTACCTAAAAATATATTTTTGTCTAAGTTGTAGGACTAACGGTTTCTGAGATATGACCGGCGTACCTTTATTAATGAGCCACCCGGTACATTTTCTTAATGAACCCCACATATTTTGGAGAATAACATTTTGCTAAAGAACATTATGGCCGACCGACAGCATAGGACAATAGTTCGAAAGAAAAAAAATAACTCGCCAACCAAATCCAGAATCATGCGGAGGGAGAAACAAAACGTGCGTGTCTGCCATTTTGTTTTCTCCATTGTAGCCTAAAAACGTCAAGGATGTTCGCGAGACCGTGAAAAAATAGCATCACCACGTTTCCGCCATTTTGTCACCATCCTGCGGGATTTTTCACGCCGAACGAGTCTTGAGTAATAATAATAATCATGTACAGGGTATTTCCCAAGTACGTATATAAATTCGTATTCTGTGGGAAAAAAATAATGCCATTTTGTCTAGTGAATTTACGATTTTATATTTGTAATTTCTACACCCATTGAGATATATCAACTTCATTGGGTACACGTTATCGTGGCTCAGTAGTACTCAAAATAATGATTATTATCAGCATTATTAACAATAACTGTAAATAGTGAAGGAGATAGAGTCCACTAGCCATATTTTAAAAGCGTCAATAAAATGACATTTTTTTTTTTAATATATATTTTCAGTTGCAAAAATTTTGCTTTTTGGTTATAGGTTATCAGTTTACCATGACAATTTTGCAATTTCTTCAAAATTATCTGACAAGTTGATGATATTGTAGGCTTATTTTAAATTTCCTGACATTTCCAGCTTCCCCAGGCTTGTACCATTAGTTTAACTAAAATAAGGTGGTTTATATGACTGATTCCTTTTTCATACATGTGCCGAATTCGATTGAAACATCTTGATAGGCGTAGAAGTTATAAAACAAACACTCGAAAACACCACCGTCGATTATACAGGGTGTTTGATTGAGGTTTAATATTTAGAAAAAAACGGCTTGTCCAAAAATCCTGCTTAGGCTACACACCTTTCTTTTACATCATTTTCTTTAGTATTAATTTTTCTGAAGTATATTTATTATGACCAAAGAATCCAAAAAATAAATATTAAAAAAAAATGTTTTTTCAATTTATACGGCTTTTTTTTTGCCGAAAATGGGATGATATGAAACCAACTCAAGAATCTAAAAAAGTTGTCTTTTTAGTGGCTAGTTAGAGTTAGATCAAAATTAGTCCCCTATCACTATAAACAACGTTGCCAAATTTCAAAAAAATCCGAAAAAAACATTAATTGTCGAACATATTGTAAAAAAGCCGTTTTTTTCAATTACAATTAGTATATGTCTTCAAACACCCTGGATTTTGTAAAAGTTTTTAAACTTCAAATTTATTTGACAAAGCGGCATAATTTTTACTTACTTAGGCGATACCCTGTGTGAATTTTTCGTTTCATAAAATAACAGAAAACGTTTTACATTTTCCGCGGACACTTTTTACATACAAAATTTTTTCTAACGCGTTCCCCAACGCCGCAACCGAAACACTGCAATCCGTAAATCGCGGGAGACCCTGGAAAAAACAAAAACAAAAGAAGCGCCAAGCTGCACTGCTATTATACTCCCCGCAAGTCGCTCGGATGATGATGCGACCGATTCGATGCAAACAACGGAAGCGCGATTAAATGCGCTAATTGAAAAAAAGAAAACAATTGCCCGCGTTTGAATTAAAACGCACGCGCTGCCCACTTTGTTTCCGTGATTTATTTGTTTGTGAAAAAAAAATGAACGCAAGTGCGCCTGTAATTAATCTCGTAATTTACTAAATTCACCACATAAAATATCTGAATCTATCAACACAGAAGAAGAAGAAAAAATGATAAAAAAAGCACCCTCTTTCTTATCTTTGCAGTTAATCGTGCCATAAATTCCGTAATGGAAAATAAAAATTGTAATTTAAAAAATATATATTTCCAATAAGTAATGAGGAACTAAGGAACGCAAAAATAAAAAAAAACACTTGGTAACATAGCAAGTTTCGTCCTTACATTTTTGCTAGAATTTGTGGATTTGTGTATTTGGTTAAAACCAAACGGTAAGCAAGGCTATTTTTAGATTTTAGTTTTTGAATTATTATATTTTTTCCTTAATATTTCAACAGAACGACAGTTCATAATAGGTCATATAATTTAAAAAACCGAACAACCAACCATATTTTTTCAATCTGAAATATTACGGCAAAATATTTAGCTATTAAACAGAGAAAAATTACAGAAAAATTTTGTTTGCAATTTTATTTATTACATTAAAACGTGTCAGCAACTTGAAAACTGGGAAGAGTTGTTTCAGACTTTAAGGTGACATTTTCCAGATAAACATCAATATTAAAATACAATAACGGAGCAAAACAAAATAAAGAAAAGGTTAGATATTTTTTTCTTTCATTTAGTCTAACCTAGGTTTTTTTCAACCATCGAACCTGTTTTTTCTTCTCTATAAACAAGCCAAAGGCATAAACATAAACTATTTTTTATTTCTTAGGAATACCGATTGAAATTGTTTGTTTAATTATAAAAATAAAGTTTTCAAGGTCATGCGTCAGCTAAAAAACGAAAACCTTCCAAATAACTAAATAAATGCCCTTTTTGTCAAAAAATAAAAATAAAGTTTGACAGATTGTGTCGTTAATGTGTACCTAATGTTATGTTCTGCACATACTTTTACATATCATATTGTTATTGTTACTTTTCTAGGTTCATTGTATGTAGTTTTGGCAACGTTTTTGCTTTTTATTATCTGGTTAATAACTTGCCAAATATACTTCGATACTTCCGATCATTTCTAGGGCGAACAGAATATTAAAAAATAAAAACAGTTCATTCATTTAGGTCCAGTATTACTTAACATAAACTTCAAATATTTTCGAAACTATTAAAATGTAAATTTGCAATGTTATAAACAAAACAACATATATTATAATAATTGAGATATTAATTATTCTAAAATTGAGTAAATAAAAAGTTAAACAGAAGTAATAATAATACGAAAATAGATTAATTGTAATAAACAATATTATTTATAAAAAATCTACCATTTACCATACCACTTTATCAGAATTTTTGACTTCAAACATCAGTACAGTAATGTTTAACATTGTTTAAAAAATTAAATAAAAAATATTTTTGTCAGAAGCAACTTTTATGACTCAATTAACAGTTTTTTTTTTATTTTTGAGACCACTAACTTCTTTTTTTCGCAATCTACCACAAAAATTAATGGAAAGTTTTTTAAAACACCCCGAACAAAGATTTTTTGGTATATTGTGAATTAAGTATGGCAAAGAGTCCCGCAGCTGACAGCAAAATATTTTCGCAATCCGCGACAAACCACCTGCTTCTCAATCCAACAAAATTTCCGAAAAACTTAAACCACGACCAAAAACCCGCGCGTCACCTCAAAATTAACCGCGGACGACAATTGCACCAATTTTCGCGAAACAAAAACGCATCGCGCCGAGCCCCACGCCTACGCCGTCGCACTGAAACGTCAAAGGAAAAAATCGGTTTTAACTAATGAAAATATAATAGCGAATGCGCGGTTTCCGCATTTCGGTGGGGTCACCCGTATATATATTTTGGTGGCGATCCACCTGTTGGCTATGCGCTGTCGTTATCAATCTGTTATGCTATCGAGAAGGAATGATGGGAAACATCGACGTGGAATGCTTTAAACCGGGCAAATATTTACTTTATCACGCGCGTTTAAATGGCCTGGCGGACTTTGTTGCGAACCATGTTTGTATCCTGCTTCGTTAGGCCTGTAAGCAGCACGATCGGTTAAACTTTCGACAAGATTAGTAAAAATTTTTGAATAGGGTAGGGTGAGGCAACCCCCCTGGAGAAAGGAGACCCACCTCAAAAATTAACCAAAATGTTTTTTTTTTTTCGTTATTATAATTATAAATTCTGGTTATTTGCGTTTTTAGCCCTTTGCGTAACCAGAGCTTTCGAAAATCTTATAAATACCCATAACAATTTTATTAATCGATACTCATTAGTAACGTTTTTTTTATTAAATGCTTTTTAATAAATAATTATAATTATTATATATAACATTATAGATAGGGGAAAGTGGGACACGATGGTCAGAAGCTTTGCCAAAATTTGGGTAAATTTAGTTGAAGTTATTCAAAAATAAATTGACTTGATTGGTAAAAGCCACAAAAAATAATGAAATGCTTGAGTAGGCCCCTTGCCCCACCCACCCCTATCATATTGCTATTAAACCTGGATATGTTATCAAAAATTTGTTCGAACTAATCAACAAGGCAAAAGGCAATAAAATTTAAAAAATATATTTCTTAGCATTCCATCGATTGACGCGATAAACATAATAGACAGCATTCTTAATCACAGACAAGGCAACTCTACCATAAAACAAGACTTGATGGATAGTTTATTAGTTTGTTTAGACCAAAATTATTTTGAATTTTTTTCTTTGCTAAAGAAGGATTAATTATGGAAAACCCACTTACTCCACTACTTGCAGAAAATTTCATGGACAATGTAGAAACTATCATACATAAACATCCTCTCAGTAAAAGATTTCTTTGGTGGTATAGATACGTAGATGATGTTTTTGCTTGTTTCACTGGAACGGAAAGGCAACTGCAGTACCTTTTGAATCATATTAACTCCATACATAAGAGTATAAAATATATCATACAAACGGAACTAGAAAACTTTTTTTTCTGGAATTAACTATAACTAAATTACAGAAAAAAATAGATTTTTTCATTTCAAACACCATTGGAAAAAAAAGATTAAAACTAAATCACGAAAAACTCAAAAGTGCAGAGTCTACAAGTTGAAATGCGTGTCATGTCCCAAAATTTATGTCGGACAAACATGTAGAACATTTAAGAAAACTCATTTACGACCATAAAAGAGCTTTTAAAAATAAAAGTTGGGACTCTAACACACAAGTTTGAATAATATTTTACATAATGAAACAAAAAGCAAAAAACTAAATTTGGTGAAAGCTATGGAGATTATTAAAATGAGATAACCGAATCAATTACTTCATGAAAAATT